CATCCCCATGTTTATAGAACTTCAGTTATGCAATGTACTGAAACTCCCGTACTCATACTTTGACATATTTCTTGAACAATCTGTTGGATTTGTAATTGAGAGTTGTCTGTCTTTCTGCACCAAAGGGTGTGAATAGCGGTCAATGAAGTGGAAGGAAAACTATGGGAGACCAAGATTCTAATTCAAGCAGAGGCAAAAAATGTTAAGTGATGCCTAAATTTAGTAGGCAGAGTTACCCGATAGTCTAGTACCTTTGCTGGTTAGAGGTAGCAGGTACCCAGTGGTATAATCGAGGCCAGCACTAGCTGCCCGAGACACCACCGTTATAAAAATGGAAAGGAAAGATAGTTCTCTGCCTTTTCATTCCATAATCAGGGGTTTGTCTCATTAGCTCAATTCCATAATCAGGGGTTTGTCTCATTAGCTCATTAGGAAATTGAGCTATCTATCTTATGATCTTAGGCCTTTACTGCTGCTACTTTTTTTATACTGCAATCTTGTTCGGTTTTTGATTAAGTAATGTGATTCTTATTGAAGTTGGAAGCACCAAGAACATGGTACCTTGGTACAACATGACTGGAATTCCTTCCCTTAAGAATATAGTCAATGAATTCCACTATGTTTACAGGTCATCTACAAGCTTCCACTGTAGGTATTAGAATTTTACAAAAGATAAGAATAAAATTATATCTTCAACACATCTACGGTTCCTCACAATCCTATTGTCCAAAAGATATGTTAAGGAATGACTGTCCAAGTTTTTTTGTTATTGTTGACCATTGGGATTATTTTTTCTGAACATGGAAATTATTCTTAATCTCTGAAGTTTCAGATGTTCCAAAACCCTAAGTCTGTTTAAAAACCTCTAGACCTCTTCTCCTAGCTTCTTTCATTTGGAAGCATTCTCGCAAAAGTTAAAAAGATTTGTTTAGTCTTAATATGCGCTGTAGAATCACTACCAGACCTTCTTATAGCTGGAAATACCCTAAAGTTTACCAAGCACTCAGTGGGATGTTATGTGTGGAAGAAGTGTGTGTTGTAGTGTTTTCAAAGCCCTTACGTGCATCAAGTTGACAAGCTCTCTTGAGTGTGCCACTATGATTTTTCCGAGATCAACAATTTCCTGTGAGACATTTTAGCTTATGAAATTGTTTTTATATTGTTTTTTTTTCGTTGTTATTGTTTTTGTATTGTTTGTAGGATAGGTTAGTGTTTTTGACCTATCTTTTTACAAAGAAAAATCTCTCTCTTTGTTTTGCTGATCCAGTTTTCCTACATTTGCGACATCTCCTTGCTCTTGTTTGCATTCTGTAATGAAATATTTCTTTGGCATTTGCTAGAAGAAAATAAATCTCGCTCTCGGTTTCTCTTCATAAAAATTCAAGAAGGTTGAAAAAAGGTTTGCCTTTAGTTTATGTGTAAGATGGAGGAGTATGGAAG